CTGAGAGACCGCCTCTCTCCTACGGCGGCCCTGCGCCTCACACATCCTCGCCCGTTCAGCAGATCCCCATCATCCGCGACGAGCGAGTCCATCCTGCCGCTGACGGAACTTACAGCTTTGACGTTGAGACTGGAGATGGTATCGTCAGGCACGAGTCTGGCGGTCCAGGTGGCGCTCAACAGGGAACCGTCAGGTTAGTTCATTTACTCTTCACATTTCTATACTTATACAGAAAAGTGTGTATACCTATTTCGGGTGCACAGGGCATTTAAACGACGATGAAAGCAAAAGTCGTGTCTAAGGTGCATTTATTATCACACATATGTATATACCCATGCATATAAATATATGTGTGAGAGAAAGAATATATATCTATATCTATATATATATACAAACTATGGTTTCTTTCAGCTTCACCTTCCCAGATGGCCAAGTCTTCGATCTCCAATTTGTCGCTGATGTTAACGGTTACCAACCTCAGTCGCCCTTCCTGCCCGTCGCCCCTGCATTCCCCCACCCGATCCCCGCCCACGCCCTCGAGCAGATCGAACGTGGTCGACTTGAACTCGAAGCTCGTGCCCGCGAAGAACAACGTCAGTCATCAAGCCAGGGACAAGCCAACCCTTCTCGCCTCTACGGTCAACCTCAGTAAATAGCTTTCCCACTGAACTCCAACGACAATATACTCTTGTTACCCCGTTATTCTACTTCCTTTATTTTCGCCCCAATATGTGAATGCCGTACGTTTCGTTATGCACCGTGTTGTATCTGTTTATAAATAAATATAAAACAAGATTTCTGTTAGTATTACTATACAATTTGATATGCTAGTATATGAACCTCAAAATAATAACAATAATTATCATTGTTTTTAATAATTATTATTTTTATAATCATTATAAATAAACAAAATATATATATATATATATATATATATATATATATATATCTTACACTTTTTACATGTGGGCAACTGTACATATAATAAATATTTCTTCAATATATCAGACCACAATATATATATTATCAGCTGCCTTTATCAGTCTATCGACTTTATCCCTTGATTCGATCCACCTTTTCAGTAGATTAACAGTAATTAGATACTTTATTCTGAGCAAAAAGACCTTTTCTGCAGGCACATAAACCAAGTATCTATAAGGATATCAAAGCTTCGTTAACGGATTATTTGGGTGTGTGTAAAACAAAGAATCTTATGTTGACATAGTGTGATAAAAATAAATGGTAAAATATAGTAAGGATTATGATTACTTTTATCTATTTATGGTAGATTTCCTGAGCATTACCATAGCCAATGCGCATCAAATTATAAAGGGTTTTAGATGGGATAGTATGAGCATGCGGTGATACAGATTATATATCTATGGAACAAGTGACATTTACTTGGAAATGGCCACACCAGTCTTAACTTAAGCGTAGCTGCTGCCATGTTTTACTAGAAATACGTGAAATAAACTCTAGGGAGAACTATGTTGAGACCGTCGTCTCTGTAGTAAAACTTTCCTCCCCGGCGGGGAATCGAACCCCGGTCTCCCGCGTGACAGGCGGGGATACTAACCACTATACTACCGAGGAATTCGAAAAATTGGAGAAAACTTAGAAATATATTTGGCTATTTTTAACACATTGCCGCCGAGGAGAATGAATAAAAAATGGGGAAAATGCTGTGCCCATTTTTTATATTTTTTGTGAAATGTCTCTGTACATAGATGGCTCTACTAGTGCTTAGCCACAAAGGATTTCACCTTTCCTTGAATTGGCGGGAAAAACGTATTTGTTACTAGTGCTATGAATATAGATGGTGTTATTTTTATTATAAACATTATAATTACTATAATGTTATAAGTATATGTAACTGCAAAGTAAGATCATAGAAAAGGGTGAACGTTCGAGACAGGAAGTACTCATAACTGCCTCACTGGTGACTTAGTACAAGTGTAGCCATCTATGTGTAAAAACAATTAATCAAGTAAACTCCCAGTGGGCATGACATGTACGTACATGCCATGCCCGTCGGCAAGGGGTTAATTGATATTTATTTTTTTTCTTCACCTTACTAATTATGTCATTCTTCACCATGGTCGTACCATCTGTTTACTTTTTTCTTTTCTTTTCTTATTACTATCGAATAAGGAAACATCGATCGTTCCACTCTTGAAATTCTAAATAGATGAGTAATGAAAACGAAGATATAAATTTAAACGTCTTTTCTTTCCCTGTAGATGTTCAAATTGCATTACAATCCCAGAGTTTGAAGGGGACTAGAAACTTTGAATTAGAAATGCCTGAATGAGGTGAAATTATTTTCAATGTAAACTGTATGATTTGTGTGTGTGTGTGTGTGTGTGTGGTTCTGTAAAAGAAGCACTACACCTCCGAAAAAAATATATATAAATATATATTTATTAATTATATAGAGAGATAGATAGATACGCCTGTATGTAAACACGTATACGATGTTTTATATCAGTTGCTATGCATATGTGTTCAAATGTACACATATATATACACATACATATAGAGTATATATAACAGGTGTTTAAAAAGGGGATGTAAATGTTACGTCTTATTGCGACCTACATTTCCTCTCTGAGAGGTATATAAAGGTGTCAGACCTGCGAACCATCCTCACTTCTTGCAGTCTGCTCTAGAAGTACATCAATACTATCAACATGAAGACAGTATGTCTGTTTCTTATCACGTTCCATTATCAAGCGCCATAAAGTGTTAGTAGTATAAAAATGGTAAGATCAACTATATTTACTCACATGTATGAACGTTCCAGCTGGTTCTGTCCTTACTGGTGGTTGTGGCTGTGGCCGAGAGACCGTCCCTCTCCTACGACAACCCTGCATCCCACCCATCCTCGCCCGTACAGCAGATCCCCATCATCCGCGACGAGCGAGTCCATCCTGCCGCTGACGGAACTTACAGCTTTGACGTTGAGACTGGGGATGGCATCGTCAGGCACGAGTCTGGCGGTCCAGGTGGCGCTCAACAGGGAACCGTCAGGTTAGCTCGTTCTCCCTTTACATTTTTCCACTTATGTAGATAAGTGTCTGCCTATGTTGGATGCATAGGACGTCCCCATACATATAATATGTATGTACGTATGTGTATGTATATATGACAAACTATAGTTTCCTTTCAGCTTCACCTTCCCAGATGGTCAAGTCTTCAATCTCCAGTTCGTCGCTGATGTTAACGGTTACCAACCTCAGTCGCCCTTCCTGCCCGTCGCCCCTGCATTCCCCCACCCAATCCCCGCCCACGCCCTCGAGCAGATCGAACGTGGTCGACTCGAACTTGAAGCTCAAGCCCGTGAAGAGCAACGTCAGTCCTCAAGCCAGGGACAAGCCGCACCTGCTCGCCACTACGGCCAACCTTAGTATTCTCCCATTCGTACTTAATGACATTATGCTCCCGTTATCTTATTATCGTACTCTAATCTCATTTTCTTCATCGTTTACTGTGTGAATGCCGTATAACGTTTTGTTATATCTATTTGTAAATAAATATGTATCTAGATTGACAGTACTTTCTAAACGACCTATAAAACTAAAGGATTTAATAATTTTATGAGGCAAGGAAACAAAGTCCCGGTTTTCCACTTTTTACATATAGCTTTGCTTGGTACAGTATAATATATGTGCTACTTCGATATATTCGACCATATATAAAGCTAATTAACTTTAATATTTGGATTATAAAGAAACTATAAATATAAGACTAACCTGAGGAATTTTATGGCCACAAGTTCAGTGCGCAAAGTTTTAATGGTTTGCATTAATAAAGTAAGAGCAGATGAAATCACCGTTTCCCGTCGAAAATTTCAAATGTTATGTTATAGATTTCTCAGGTCATTTATTCGCTCAAGTGAATATTTGCAATCGTACTTGATATGTACTCTATAAATGAAATGTATAATCCAGAGGAAAGGCACAGCATTGATTGTTTAGAGTCATATCCCTAACATTACTTCTAATTCTTACAGGTGAGTATTAATTCATTTGATCTATGAGCATAGGCCTTTGAATGAACAGACCATAGATGTTTAATAGATAAAAGTACAGGGGTATCGACCTACAAGTTTATTCGATTTTTTTAGATAAATTATATTTCGTTGAATGTTTAAAACTTTTTTAGCTTTTGACCTAACTACCAGATATTATTATATGTTTAAAACAATCTGAATAAATGTTTAAATCAGGGATGGAGTACAGTGAAAATGATAATGATAATAATGATGGGGACAATAATGCTGATAATGATAATTAGACATTAACAATAACATTAACTTTCTTTTAAGTGTTCATAAAAAATAAATAGATAAAAAGACCATGAGTTTAAAAAACCTTTTGCATTCGCCTCTTAGATGAGTATACAACTGATGCCTTATGCACTGCCTTTTAATGCTGCCTCTTCGACGTATCTCTGATTCAGATGACTTCATAGGAAACATCCTAAATTTGGTTGTTGTATTATCTTAGTATATAATTCCTACAGTCTGAATCTACTGTTTCAAAGAGTTCAATGGCTACCATACATTCTCTTCATGCTATAAGCACGTGCTTATATTGCCCAACGGAAATCTACGGCTGGTGAAGACTGAGTAACTGGTGATTTTAATCCCAAGGAGATTAATGCAACGACGCCTTTTTTTCTTATATCAGGTGATATCTACTTTTTTTTTCTTTTACACTACAATGTGAATTGGAAGTTTTGGTATCTATTATATTTTTGTTCTTAGAATGTATTTGTGCATTTTGACGAAACTTT